CGGTGGCTCACGCCTGTAATTCCAGCACTTTGGGAGGCCGAGGCGAGCAGATCACGAGGTCAGGAGATCAAGACCATACTGGCTAACATGGTGAAACCCGTCTCTACTAAAAATACAAAAAAAAAAAAAATTAGCCAGACGTGGTGGCGGGCGCCTGTAATCCCAGCTACTCGGGAGGCTGAGGCAGGAGAATGGCATGAACCCGGGAAGAGGAGCTTGCAGTGAGCCGAGACTGTGCCACTGCACTCTGGCCTGGGCAACAAGGCGAGACTGCATCTCAAAAAAAAAAAGAAGAATTAAGCAAGCAATTCCTTTGGGCTGTTGGCATATTGATCTTTAAAGATTTTAAAGTAAAGGCTTCCACCTATTCACAAGAACAGACTTTCTTATAATTTTTAAAATATATGTTTCAACAATTAAATGTCCATATACAAAACAATATACTTCATAACTGCTACCATATATAAAATATAACTCAAAATGGATTGTAGACATAAATATAAAATCTAAAATGATAAAAAATATCTGGAAACAAACATAGAAGAAAGTATTTGTGACCTTTGGTTGGCAAGGATTTCTTGGATAAGATACCAAAAGCACAATCCATAAAAGAACAAATTTGACTTCATTAAAATTTAAAACATCTGCTCTTCAGAAGACACAGTTAAAAGAATGAACAGACAAGCCACAGACTGGGAGAAAATATTCGTAAATCATATATGTGATAGAAAACTTGTATTCTGAATATTTAAAAACTCTCAAAACTCAGTAATAAGAAAATAACACATTTTTTAAATGGGCAAAATAAGTGAACAGACATTTCACCACAGAAGATATTTATACGGAAAAGATGGTTCGTGAATAACCCTGAAGATTCTCTAATGTACCAATTCAGAGTTAAATACGGAAGACATCTAAGCATATAGAAATATGCTCAGCATAATTAATAATTAGTCACTAGGAAAATGCTAAGTAAAGCTTCTATGAGTTATCACTTTACACCTATTTAGAATGATTAAAATTGCTGACCATATCAAGTGTCGGTGGGGATGTAGAGGAACAAAATGCTCATAGGCTGCCGTATGAATGTAAAATAGTTCAATGTGGAAAAAGTTTCTTATAAAGTTAAACATATACCTACCATATAATCCAATCATTCTGTTCTCAATTTACCCAAGCAAAGGTAAAGTATATGTTCACACAAAGACTTTTCTGCAGATACTCACAGCAGCTTTATTGATAATAGCTAAAAACTGGAAACAACACAAGTCTCCATCAACAGGCAAATGAATAAATAAACTGTGGTATACCATTACAATAGCATACTACTTAGCAATAAAAAGGAATGAACTATTGATACCTAAAGCAATGTGGACAATTCTTAAAATAATTATGCAGAGTAAAAGAAGCCAGCCCCCTCTCCAAAAAGAATACATAAAATATATATAAAATTATATAAAACGGAAATTAATCTATACTGACAGGAACTAGATCAGTGGTTACCTGGCAGAATGTTGGGTGAGGGGAGGTCTCCGGAGGGGGAAGGAAGTAAATGAGGATGGGATTACAATGGGACACAAACAGAAAACTTTTAGGAGTTATGACTATGTTCCCCATCTTGACTGTGATGAAAGTTTAAAAGGCATATATATATATGCCAACACTTATGCAATTGTACACTTTAAATATGTGCAATTTATTGTTAGTCAATTATACCTCTATAAAATATTAAATAAATGAAATTTAAGTATATATTTGTTGAAAATATCCAGCCATATTTTCATTTGACAATATTTCCTGAATGCTTCCATGCACTGAAGCTATTTTTTAAGAAGATATGAGATGTAACTGTTACCCTCCAAAGGCTTTCAGAGTTCGGAGGGCTCAAATTTTGGACTTGTGGGACTGAAGCTGTGTGTGTGTAGATTTAGGATATAGAAGTTTAGAGCTCAGGACAGATTTTTGATCTGAAAATATAGACATTGTAGTTACCAGATATACAGAGTTAATGAAATAACTTGCATGAAAGATATGCCTAGAAATAGGTTCTAGACTGAGAAGTGGAAAGAACTGAGGACAGAACACTAGAAACACTAACATTCAAGAGGCAGAAGAGGGAAGATAAGCCAATCTGAGACCAAAAAGAAAATGAGCAGGGAGTTTGGATGAGAACTCACAGCGACAGCACAAGGAGTAGAGCGTTCTCAAAAGGAGGACAGTGTCAAATGACTCGGGGGATGCAAAAGATAAGGAGTGAACAGTGTCAATCGAATTTAGCAACTATGTCTCCAGTGGCCTTGGTGAGAGCACTTTTTGTGTCACTGCATTGAGGAAGCCAAACACTGGTACACTAATATTCTTGCTTTGCACGTTGGTTATTGTAAAGGAGGCAGAAAAGAAACAGTTGGATATTTGAATTATTCCTTCTCAGACAGGACATTATAACACACTAGAGCATTAAAAAGATGATGTTCATGTGTCTAGACTTCTGTCTCTCAATTCTCTGCTCTTTTTCCCCCCATGTGAACACAATCATAGTTTCCTAATTTTGATCAAAATGTATGGCAGTCATTGCTCCATTATCCTTTTTCTCCTTCACTCAGGTCCCTGGCCCCCTTATTCCTTTCCAGTTCCACCTCTCCCCTCCACCACCTCCACTTCTTTACACTCTTTCCTCTCCTGCCATCTTCATGCACCCAGGAATCTGGTCCTGATAGGAGGGGGGAGTTTAAAGTGCCAGAGCAGGCAGGGCCTAGAGTATGATCACCAGGCTTGTTAGCAACCAGATGCTGATAGATTTCCCCAATGAGAATGACACTGAAATCTCTCTGAAATCTTTGCTTCTTTTTGTCCATGGCTGCAGATGCAGTTCATTCGCTCTTTGATATAATGACCTACCTGGTCCCCTCCCGTGAGATGGCCCTTACAGCCGTCTTACACCTGCTCACAGCTGCAGGCATTTGGCTGTTTTCTGTAGGTCGTGGCTGTTCTGCCTGTGGCTTATTGGGAAAAGAAAATGCTTGGTGGGAGGGTTTTGGATTTGGATTTGAGTAGCTCTCTCAGTGAACTAGGCTTTGAGGAGTGTTGCTAGTCTGGTTTTCATCTTACGTTCTGGTCCTAGCAACTAGGCTTCTTCCTTTTTCCCTGCCTTGTACTAGAATTCTTGAAATATGATCCCCTTCTCGGCTTCCTATTCCTTAGTGCCTGTTTTGTTACCTGGCTACATCAGACAGGGATTCCAACTGGCTGCTTGTAACCAAGGTAGGGAATAACAGTGGTTTAAATAAAAGTTTTTCTGTCACATAAAAAACATCCAAAAGTAGATAGTCTCAGACTGTTCGATGGCTTCTCAGTAGTCCGAGACCAAGATGGGTTCTTACTGGAACACCAGCCTTGGCATTGGTTTCTATTTCTTTCCTTCCTTCCTTCTTTCCTTCCTTCCTTCCTTCCTTCCTTCCTTCCTTCCTCCTTCCTTCCTCCCTTCCTCCCTTCCTTCCTTCCTCCCATTCTTTCCTTTCTTTCTCTCCCTCCTTTTTTCTGTCTTTCTCTCTTGTCAGGGTCTCACTCTGTCACCCAGGCTAGAGTGTAGTGCTGCGATCACAGCTCATTATAGCCTCGAACTCCTGCAAGCGATCCTCTTGCCTCAGCCTCCCGAGTAGCTAGGACCGGAGGTGCACACCACCATACCCAACTAATTTAATTTAACTTTTTGTAACCTGGCCTCAAGTGATCCTTCTGCCTCAGTCTCCCAAAGCACTGGGATTATAGGTGTAAGCCACCACTCCTGGCGTTGGTTTTCATTTTCAAGTTTACCTCCTGGCCCAAATTGTTGAAGCTCCAGCCATCAGGGTTGTCTTCCAAGGAAAAAACTGGAGAAAGGGGGAAAGCAGGCAAAAGGCACAAAGCAGTCATTTGTCCTCTTTTTATAGAACTTTCCAGAGATTTCCACCTAGAAACTTATCCTTGTATTTCATTGGCTAAAAATTAGTCATATGGCCAAACCTTGCTGTGCTAACAAAATGAAACCAGGGTTCTAAGTAAAAAGGAAACAGTAGATTTTGGGTAGGGAACTAGCAGCCCCTAACAGAATTACTCGGCTTAGAAACTTGCCATTCTCATTATATCCGCCCTCTTTCCCTGAACCAGTGTCCTGTGTTATCACTCTGACTTGATATCACCTGATAGACTTCTCTACATCTGCCTGCCTGCTGACCACTCACCTGGGTTTGCAAATATAGTCTGCTTTGAATGTTTCTATTGCTATGTTTATCGACATGATTGTTCGGTTGCTTGATTTCTCCTAATTGACCTTCCAGGTTGTTGACACCAGGCTCAGATTACTTTGTCTACTAATTCCTGGTAAACAGTACTTTCCAGTACTGCCAAAGATGCTTACAGTTCCCCTGGGGAAGGGAAGATGAGCATATTGCACAAGAGGTAAATGTGGAAAAGGGGCCATGATGTGTTTCATCTGGTTGAAACACATCTAGTCCTGGGCAACAGCTCCTTACCCTGCTTGAACTGCAGCATCTTCCTCCCTTCTCCTCCCTTGTTTATTCAGTCATGATTTCTACAATACGCCCTGTACTTAAGATTTTCATTCTCAACTTGATAACTGGATTGCAACCTTCATACATTTCTCCTCTTGGTAGACTTCTTGCCTCAGAATCATTTTCTGGCTGTTAAGTCTTCAGTCTTCAAAGTCCTCTTGAAATTATGTTTTCTTGACTTTCTCCTTCACCTGGTCTATCAGACACCTATTTTCATTAGTAGCATTTCCAGGCTGAACCCTGAGACTGATGATAAACACGTGTGTTTACTTCTAGTGGTTTGTTCGAGCAGGCTTGTATTGGCTTGGGAGAGCTGATTGTTAAAAACAAAATAATTATAAAAATATAACTTGTTAAACTGTTGGTAGCTTGAAATTAGCCATGGTAGGAGTATGTACAACATGGAAATTGGCAAACACTATTAATTAGGGCTTTCTTTTTTTTCCAAAGAGGTGTCTACCAGCACGCCATTGCTTGTTTCTCTCCGTCATTGATTCCTGAATGCGCACGCTCGTGTGCGCACACACAAACAACACTTCTCATCCGAGATCCTTATATCTTCAGTCTCCAGCTTACAGATAACCCTTCCACACTCAGCTATAGCCAGTGATTCAACATTTCATCATGGAATATATATTTTGAAAATACATCCTGGACCCTAAAAAGACTTTTCCAAAACTGCTGACCTGGCTATTTGAGAACTGCTAATGTAGTCCATCTGTATGCCTTCAGAACACATATAATCATATGGAGGAATCATTTGTGGGGGAAAAACCTACATCCTGGTATTTCAGCAGAAGGAATTTATTGATCAACATCAGAGATGACTCATCACAGAATATTAACTTCTGTGAAATTAATATTGGGTGAAAGAGGACCAATTAATGATTACAGGTATTTCAGAAAGCCTGGTGCACACTGTGCAATGATCAAGCTGCATGAACGAACCAAAATGTCAAGATGATTTGCCTTTGACAGGAATTGTATCAATTCTCATAATGCCATTACCTCTTATTGATCAGGACCTCTGTTCCATATGTCTTTGATTAATAACAATGAAAAATGAATTAATTATTACTTATAATTACAGTATTTTAGTAAACAAAATTATTCAACTCATGGAAGAAAGAGAATAAAAAGGATTATGAAAACCTGGGAACCACTAGACTATGCCAATTTTTTATTATATTGAGAAGCTAATATTTCTTTGTTTAAAAACATGTAGCATTTGCTAATATTATAGACTAAAGCACATGCTGTGGAGACAGACTGCTTGGGTCATATTAGAACTTTGCCACTTACTAGCCCTGGGATTTGGGGCAAATTGCTTAATCTCTCTGTGCCTTAGTTTTCTCATCTATAAAATGGATGTAAAAGCATCTACCTCACACAATGACTGTAAAACTAAAATGAAAAAACACATGAAATGCTCAGAATGGTGATTAGCATATAGTAAATAATTAATAATCATTTGCTCTCGTTTTCATCCTTGATATTATTTTTGTAGCAGTTTCAGTGTACCAGGAACTGTGCTATAGGCTGTACGTGCAATCTCCTCTAACCTTATCATTAAGCCCATTTTATGAGTAAGGAAACTGACCCTCAGTAGAAATGATGTAACTTTTCCATGGTCTTGGGCTAGTAAGTGTGAAAGAGTTTGGCTCAATATCTTTTAGGAGATTTCATTTAAATGGTAGAAAGATGTAAAACCACAGCTTGCATTGGAATTCAAGCCATCCTGATATTTAATATTTTACTGGGAAATTCTTACTTCATAGTCAACTGAACCCATGCATGTGGTAGCATAAACTATTCTTGTTCTGTCTTCAGTGGAGACAGAAGAGCTCACTCATAAACATCCCTGTGTTTTCACTTGAACTGCTATTAAGTTGCCCTCCTGACTTGTCTTCGGTAGGTTTTACAAACACACAGCTCCCATAGGCCTTCCCCATGAATGCTATTTGTTAGCCACAGAATAATCTCCACAAAAGTATTTCTACTTCCTCTAACAGTAATTTTTAAATTAGACTTTAAATCTAAAGTTCATTACTAGTGTAAGCAGAGCACAATATCCTTTGGCTGAACTTGCTTCATTTATGAAGAAGCTGAATATAAAGATCCTTTCTCTCTGTCTTGGACTTTCTTATTCCACCTTCTTATTTAGAAGCTGCTGCCTACAATGCACCACAATGTATATAATATGTATTTTAATAAGTATTTAATAAGTTCTTCTTTTAAGTTTCAAGTTGCATGTCATTTTGTGTCACAGGGGTGAGTCTAGACTCACTTACATTTAGTTGTGCAATCAGGAAGACACATGACAGTGTGAATATTTTTTAAACACATGTATTATATCACTATCCATTCATTCACTTTTTCTGGGCCAGTCACCGTGCTAGACACCAGGACCAAAGAACACAGTCCCTGCTCAGGGAGCACATAAGTCCCATAAGGGGAGCCAATATACAGTTACCTAATTATTGTGATAGAGCAATGCACAGGAATCAATAGGAACATGGGGAAAAGAGCAGCAAAGAGACCCTGAAATGTAGAGATAATACAGTCTGATCAAGAATGCTAGGGAGCCAGTCAGAGGCCCTGGCTCTAATCCCACTTTTACAATTAATTATTATGCCATCTGTTAAGGGCTGAATTGTGCCATCCCAAAAAAGATCTGTTGGAGTTCTAACCCCCAGTACTTCAGAATGACCTTATTTGGAGATAGGGGCTTTAAAATGAGGTCCTTAGGGTGGGCCCTAGTTCAATATAACTGATGTCCTGGGAAAAGGGGGAAATTTGGACATAGAGACAGACGTACGTAGAGGGAAGATGATGTGAACAGACACAGGGAGAACATAACCATCCATAAGCCATGAGAGACCTTTCCTTCACAGCTCTCAGAACGAACCAACCCTGCCTGTACTTTCAGCCTCCAGAACTGTGAGACAACTTTCAGTCTCTGGAACTGTGAGACAATATATTCCTATTGTTTAAGCCACTCAGTTTGTGGGTTTTTGTTACAACAGCCCTAGCAAACTAATATGCCATCGCAGTGTCACAAGCCTATCCCATGCTTTGGGTATGCTTCAGGTATCCCATGCTAGGCAAGGCCAGTCCCACGTTTGGGAAGATTTGGGCAAAAAGCACTCAGAGCACAACTAACCAGAAACATGCCTGCATCTGCCTACAGCTTGTTCTTACTCTGTGACCCAGATGAATTCAAAGGTTTCTCTTTAAATACTGAATCTGAGTCTATGATAAGACCCACTAAACCTCCCCAATGTGACATCCAGAAACAACACCAGTAGTCCTTTGCTTGTAAGGTAAATACTATATACTATTGTAGAGAATTTTAGAGTATAAGCTAAATTCAATAAAAATAAAACTTCGTGTTAAATAACAGATCAACATGACATTACTTAAAACAAATGGTTAATAAACATGCAAGATTTTCTATCTCACTGGTAATCAGATTTATGACAAAAACTGCTCTTGGTAAATGGAAGATGCTAATACAGTTCACCCTTCAGCAATACGAGGTCTAGAAGTGTTGACCCCCATGCAGTTGAAAATCTGGGTATAACTTTCAACTCCCCCAAAACTTAACTATTAGTAGCCTACTGTTAACTGTAGGGCTTACTAATAACATAAACAGTAGATTAGCTATGTGATATGTATTATGTGTTATATTTTTACAATAAAGTAAGGTAGAGAAAAAATGTTATTAAGAAAATTATTATAAGTAAGAGGAAATATATTTTTATTCACTAAGTGGAAGTGGATCATCATAAAGGTCTTCATCCTTACTGTCTTCACATTGAGTAGATTGAGGAGGAGGAGGAAGAGGAGGGCTGGTCTTGCTCTCAGGGTTGGCACACGCAGAATAGGTGGAGGAAGTGAAAGAAGAGGCAGAAGAGGCAGGCACACTGGGTGTAAATGTTATTGAAAACAATCCACATATAAGTGGACCCACACAGTTCAAATCCATGTTGCTCAAGCATTATCTGTACACATCAGAGAACAAATGCAGGCATCCTGAATGAGTGATAGCCTATTCACTTAGAATACACACTGGTTCCATTTGTCTTTCTGTTGGCACAATCTGAACCTAAAATTATCTTCCTAGAATACACAGTGACATGAAACCTTTAAAACAAACAAACAAAAACTCCCTCTATTAGGTGCATGTTCATTTCAGGCAACTCTTCTGGGGAGAGAAGGTTTGAACACAAAAAATGCCTGAAACAATCAAAAGATAACCTAATATTTAGCTCCTGTATAGACTGAACAAGTTCAGCCAAAGTGCATTGTTTGGGTTTCTTCTTTCCAACATGTTTTACCCTCAGGCCAGCAAGGTTATACTTTCTCTTCTCACCCCAAGTCTTCATCTTTTCTGGAAAATTTCCAAGCAGAGCCCTGGTCTCAGGTCATAACAACTTGATCTGCTGCACCAGAACACCAAGGGAGTGAGTCACCCCTTTGGATTTGCCCCAGCAGGTCTTCAACAAGTCTTTGTTTCTCTGCCCATCCATCCTTCCCCTCAACTGCTTGGCGTTGGCCAGTGTCCACGATGGGTTTTTCTTTTAGTTTCTGTTGCCTTCCATCTTTTTACTTTTAAAAAAATTATAATGATAAAAATGTGCACAAAGTTAAAAGACCATCACCCTAACGGTCTAAGGATTACCAGGGTCAACAGTGTGAGTATCCTTCAAGAGACAAGAATTTCCATCCTCCCCACCCTGCCCCCTTGCTGTTTAGAGCTCATACTGTACACAGTGTTCTGACTTGCTCTTATCACTCAAAAATATATCATGGACACTCTTCCATGTCAACACATACATAGCTCCCTCATTTTTAAACAGCTATTTGTTTTTCTACAGTGTAGATGTGCCCAAATAGAGAAATAGATGAACCATTCCTCTATTTATAACAGTGGAATGTGGTCCACATTCTTTTGACCCTTACAAATAATATTACAATCGCCATATCTGTAAATATATTTTTGCACACTTAATATTTCTGTAGATGAAATCACTTGTAGTGGAAAAGTGTGGTTAAAGGATACATGCATTTTTAATATCTATAGGTGCTGCAAATTACTTTCCAAAAATGTTTATTAATTCATGCTCCAGTCAGCTAAGTATGAAAGTTCCTATTTCTTATAGACACAAACACCTGATAGTAAACTATATTTTTGCCAATCTGACAAATCATAGATGCTATCTTGTTTTTATTTATGCTATGATCATTGATGAGGTTGGGTATGTTTTCAGATGCTTATTAGCACATAGTCCTTCTTTTGAGAATTGTCTATTTTCTTTGTCCATCTTCTTATTTTGCTGCTTCTCTTTTTTCATATTGCTTTCAAGAAGCTGTCTGTATTACCCATATTAACCCTTTCCTGTTGTGTATACATGTTGCATATATTTTCTCCCCTTAGGTAACATTTTTTATGGTACGCTTCGTTTGATAGAAATGTTAAAATTTTTTGTAGTCTTATCTGTTTAATTTTTTTCTGTTACAGTTTCTGAAATTTTTTCACGATATTTCTAATTAGTAATTATAAAGATAACCAATATTGTAAAAGTCTCCTATATTTTCTTTTAGTCTTTTACAGTTTTTAATGTTTAGATTATTAATCCTTCTGGAATTTTTCTGGAATATGAGCTAAGACAGTGTATTAGTCATGCTTCATTCAACAGAAGGATTTTTTTTTTCTCAGATAACAATTGTGGGTGTTCAGATAACAACCGTGGGTGTTCAACAAGCAGACACAGGTATATTAAATGTTTATATTAAATGTTTTAATATCAGGTATTTGTGAGTGTCTATAAGAAATAGTGACAGGGTGACTCACAGACCCAGGCTCCTTCCATCCTAGCTCTACCCTCCTCTTGATAAGGTGTCAGCAAATTACAACCCACAGGTCACATGCAGTCTACTGCCTGTTTTTGTAAATAAAGTATTATTGGAACATAGTCATGCCTATTTGTTTACATAGTGCCTACGGCTGC